TTCTATATTTTTCTCGAAATCTACGGTCGAAGGTTAAATATCGATAACAGAGAGACAGCACTCTATTTTGACTTTGCATTCTTTATTAGGTTTTATTTGGCTAGATTTAAAATGGCACCAAGTTCCTTTTTTTGCTTTGCGAAGTGTTGTGAAGTATTGTTTTGTAATTTGATAATGATAGTAGTATAGTTGAATAGTATTAACTATGACGATTCAATAATAATAATAATAATAACATTAACTATATTAACCCTTAGCACTCCACATAGTTTTGTGGTATGTTAGCAACTCCTACCAATTTTGATAGTAGTCCTACTGAAAGTTAACAATGTTATAACATTTCTTAGACCTTTAATTCCATTCTCAGTACAAACTTTGTACATTTGAAAGATCTAATAATCTTAAGGTAGCTTTTTTAAAATTCATTAAAATATTTAATATTAGAACTGGTGCAATATTGGAGCCTACAGAGGTCAAAGGGTTAGTAACTACTATAAGGTTGTTCCAAACTTCCAACGCCTAACGAATGTCAAATTTTAATCATACAGTCACCATAATTGTCGTGTAAACAATATTAAACAACAAATTTGTCATTTTCGTAGAAACTTACAGCGAACACGATGTCCATAAGACTCTGAACACAACAAAGAACCGTACGACACTAAATATAACCTCTTTGCACTAGTAACAAGCGCATCCAACCCTAACGTGTGTTCGAAACTTCCACCATCCAACGGGCGTCACATTTTAATCGCATAATCACCATGATTGTCACATCAGTTCCCACCGTGGAACAAAGTATACCAATTCCGTCGTGTAAACGGCTCCTCGTTGCTCGGCCGCGATTATTCAATGCGAACTAATTATATCCCCTCGTTAGCGAACAGAAGCCCGGAAAGTTTGCTTGTTGCCTCCGCGAACTTCCGGATTTATAATTCCGGTCCACATTGTCGGGAACTGTCGTTAATCTTAACGGGCCAGCATCAGGCCGCATTAATTATTGAAACGCCTCGGTCGCCTAAGTTGCGGCCGGACACCTTGAACTTCGTGGGGAACGCGAGGCGATCGGTCACAGGTGCCCCTGTGGCTATGATAATTAAAATGGTACATATGTTATCGATCAAATCCGAATAATTGACGAATTATGCAGCTACCATGGAGGTTAGTGACGTTTTACGCGTTTATCATTCACTTTTGGTCTAGTAATATTATTTTAAATGGTACTCTAAATTAGCAGAAATACTATAACGGTAACTCATTATTCAGGTTATCCGAAATTCTCGTTTAATTTGTTCTTAATGGTAAAATTTGAATACTTGACTTAATGTTATAGGCTTGATATTTTATTGAACAGGTGCTTGTTATTGTTTTATTATATTTTACATATAGAATAGGTTCTTATAGGTTTTATGTGAAATTATGTTGAGAAATCAATTGTAAACTAGTTGAAATAATTTGTATTTAATGTTCTTTGAAATGTTGAATGTAGAATAGCTTGTTGAGACTTGGTTTTCCTAGGAAGAAAAAGATGTATGAAGGTGTGATATGTGTTTTATTGCATTTGATCGATAAAACGGAATTCTTCCTGTTGAGACATCAATATTATGGTGAACCATCGATTGAAAATACCTGTATTTCAGGTATCAAATGGTGGCCAATATTTTCATAAAAGTGTCAAACTGACGTCGATGCTTTTATAGAAATCTCGAACGGCTATCGATAATACCTTTCTCATACCGACTCCATCATTCATAAGTATTTGACCAGTTGATCGAATATATTTATATTCACGTTGTAACGTAAATATTCATAACAAGAATAGACATCAATTCCCATGATTGACGTGCAGAAACATTAGAATGCATTGAATATTAAAAAATCTCATCAATAAACAAATACAGTGATTCGCAGGTTTTATTTATTTGCTTTTTTACATATTAATTATTTCTTTTTACTTTTAAATTTTACTCTAATATATATACTTTTCTTCATTTCAATATTTAGAACTTCGTTAAAAATTGAATGGATATTTTTGTGTAATAAATGTACCTTGTTATAAACACATATGTGACGTAATTAATTATTAAATAGTTCTTCTTGCATATCTATTCCACTAATCAAATTTACTCTGTTTTCTAATCGATAACACTTACAAATCTGAATCTAATTAAGAAGTAAATATATTTGTTCAAAATACTTCTTTCTTTGAACAAATAATTCATTGAATTACCATCCTCCAGTTCTAAGAACGAGCAATTTAAATAACGTCTGTTTAAAACGTACTTCGTTGTACCATGAACCATTCATAGTAGACCAGCAAGAAATTTCCTTAATTTCTCTTTCTAAATTTCTTCCCGAGTGCTCCGTAAATAAGCCCACAACTGCTTCCCCTGATTTTGGACAGCAACAATAAACAAACTGAGCAAAGAAGTTGCTTGGGACCGTTCTACCCGAGAGCTCCCAAGTCGTGCCAATTTTTCCTCCACTTTTCTTGTTGTTCTTTATCTTTATTTACAATCCTGGCTTAGGTGAATGATAAAATAAATACCCTATTCACAATGACATTGTTATTAATGAATACTTTTAATATTATTGTCTCAGAATATTTTCTTTAATATTTACAAAGACATTTGCTACCTTGACTCTTAGTGCAAGAATAATTCTTTATCCCTCAGTTTAAACATTCATTTCTGCCAAGCTAATATCTGCATGCACCTTAATTACACTATGAATAATTTCCATTCTCTCATTAACAACTGTTCGAAACCTTGGTGTAATTTTCTCAGCTGTCATTTGCTTCTTATACCAAGGTTGCCATCATTGCATTGAAATTCCTTAGTTACTGTACATACAGCAACATTTCTTAAAAACCTCAATAACATTAAATTGTTATATTATTTAATATTAATATCATTCTATTGTAATCAATATTAATCAATATTTACCTTCATAGTTAAAATTAATCAAATAAAATGTAGAATAATAATTATAACTTATATATATCTCAATAGCATACTTATATAATCAATATTATTCAATATTTATCTTCATAATTAAAATTAGTTGAATAAAATATACAATAATACTTATAATTTATATATCTGAAATTTAACTGTATATTTTATATAACAATATTGCGTAGTTTTATTGTAATATTTTTCAATCAACGTTGTTAATTGTTATATCGTGAGATAGTATTGATTAGTTACCTGTAGCTCCCCAAATGCATTCTATATATCGTCATAATAATAAAATCGATGCTCCGGCCGGCACCGTTTCAAAATTAAATAATAATAACACAGCAGCCGTTTGGAAAATGAACGACTTTGACCCTGAATTCTAGTTCTGACCTTGGCTCCGCGTGCTCCAGAAACCGTAAACATTCGAGCTGCACGTGAGTCACATGGCGTTAATAATCGATCCCGGGTGAAACCGTTAAACAAGAAACTGGTGAACTATTATATGGATTATTGGAACCCGGATGCTTGTTTTAGAGCGATAGAGGTACCGTTTAAACTTGAATCTTGGGTCGGGCCTTGAACTACTTGCGCCAAAACCAGTGTTGTTTATGAGGGGATGCTGGAAAGTTAGTTCTACCGATATTATAGTGGAGTCTGACCTCTAGTCGTGTCGTTCACGGTTCGTGGAGAGTTCATTGGGTCGTAGCAGGGTGAAGAAATCGAATTTCTTATTAGTAATTAGGAAAATAGGAGAAATTAATGTTAATTAAAATAGATAGTGGGTAGTTGAATGAGATACAGTACTTTGTTAGCTGATTTCGAGGAAATTGAATTTATTATTGGTAATTAGAAGTATAAGGGGAATTAACAATAATTAAAATAGCTAATTCAATGAGATATTCTTTTAAATTTAACAATGGATATCCCTTTCGTTTTCTCCATATAATTACTCTTTCGAAAATAATTCTATTTGAAAAAACTGAAAACCACCATTTTCATTTCCATTCTCGTCGTTCCAATGTTATGTGGATATTTCAAATTTTACTACTATTTAGATATAATTCAATTTAATTAAGGTTCAACGGTGGCCCCACTTCCATTCACGTCACCTGTTGAACCCCTTAGCATCAAGACAATTAACCTGTCCACAGTCGAGTGACCTTCAACCCCGTCCCTTGACCTTGAAACCGGTCCCTTAACCCCTTGATCTACACCACCGTGTCAGTCCCTTGACGAAAATTTTAAACTGAATTTGACAAATCTAAATGTTACTCATTATTTCCTTCAGGTAAATGAAATATTAATTTCCTATTATCAATCGTTACTATTTGCAATATACATAGACATAGAATAAACATCCAAATCTTCTCTTTTCCTAATAAATCATTGATAATAAATTAGTTGTATCGATTACAGTTCAGGAATAAATAAATCGTCAAGGGGTTAATTCGCAAACAGAATTTAATTACTCAAACAACAAGTAATCACCACGTATTCGACAATCTTCGTCCGTGAAGGGTTAATACGACGCTCTGTTTATTTATTCAAGAACATTCGGGAGTCATTGAAATGTTACCTTTAAATGGTACGCGAAGGGTTAATACAACGCTCTGTTTATTTATTCAAGAACATTCGGGAGTCATTGAAATGTTACCCTTAAATGGTACGCGAAGGGTTAATACGACGCTCTGTTTATTTATTCAAGAACATTCGGGAGTCATTGAAATGTTACCTTTCAATGGTACAATTGTGATACTAAAAATACAGAAAAAATTGTTAAAACAGGTAGAGGTTGCAATAAAATAGAATACCGAGTCTGACTCGACGTAGGACTGCTGGGGGTTAATCCGCTGTCGAAATAAACGGCTCGAATCATTATTCAAGGGGATAATCTCGAAATCGGCTCCTTAACCTTGAAATCCCGACGACAGTTTCCCTGACCCACGTTAAACGTCCCCCACCATGTTTACACCGGCAATTACAGCTGGTCAGGTAATATAAAAGCCGTCGGCTAGACCGTGGCCAGCTGTTTAGTCGGTCCGGTTCCGGGGACCGGTTCTATCGCGGTTCCCAGCGACTGCCTCGTAAATCCGGCATTTTTATCGATCGATCGATCGATCGACCCGAGAGACCTACCTGTCGCTCGATCTCTCCGGTGGATCGGTGTCCCCGTTGTATTCGGTAGCGACTTTTCGTCGGACGAGCCTGGGGAAAATGGCGGCCGGAGGGTACGCACTCGCGGCTGTCTTGATGCTGATGGCTGACTTGGTAGCGCTCGCTGACAACGCGTGGCCTTCTTGCGCGGGGAAGACTATACTGAGTGAGTACAAAGTTGTTACGAAGTACTTTGCGCGTTGCGTTGTGCTTTGGTTTTTGTTTTTTGAAGCTGTTTTAGTGGGATTTTATTTCTAAGGTGGAATATTATTTTGGTTTATTGTGTTTTTGAAGTTTTCAGTGGGATTTTGTTTTTAAGGTGGAATATTATTTTGTTTTATTGTATGTTTTTTTGAAGTTGTTTTAATGGGATTTTATTTCTAAGGTGGAATATTATTTTTTTTATTGTGTTTTTGACGTTTTTAGTGGGATATTGTTTTTAAAGTGAAATATAGGGCATCTCTTGAATTGCTGAATATTATTTTCCAATTGAAATATCATCTTATTGTTTGTTTTGGAAATATTTCAAGTTGGAATATTATTGGATGTCGTTTTCGCATTATTATATAAAAGTTGTAATTAAATACGGAAGTAACGACAAATTTGTCATTTGACCGAATTTAAATACCCTAATGAATTGCCCTAGCGTTCGGGATTATTTAAATATATTTGCATTTATATGGGTATTCAAATACGAAGTAGTTTATTATTCGGGTGTGCAAGTTATAAGTTTGAATTATTCTTTGTTATTGGAACGAATTTAAATAATGAGTTACCCAGTGTTGAGCGTCATTTAAATGTATTCCTATTTCGATGAATATTCAAGGGAAATGTCATTCGTTATTTGAAAGTTTCAATGAAAAGTAAAAGTAGGTTCACGTACAACAATGTACTATATAAACAAATAGTTCATAAAATTTTAGTGTTGATAATCGTTAATAAATTTATCTTTCAATTATTTGTACCAACTCTGGATACAGAACCCGTGTGATTCATCTATTCGCGTAACAGTTTGAGTAATCTTCGCGCTGCTCTCCAGCGACAGATAAGAACGTGACTGGACATAACCCGTTGTTTAACGAACCTCATTACTCGAATGCGTACAAATGGCTTCGCTCCTCGTTCGACTAGACAGCCAGTGCCATTCGTTCTTCTAAACTTCACTGAGTTTTAAGAAATTCCTCTGTGCAACGAAGTTTCAACTGTTTCTATTGTCTCCCAATATTCATTGTACACACTCGGGGATCTCGAGGAAGCTATTTTTCAAGACAAATAAAAATTGTTTAAGTTTATAACTTTCCTGCGTGTTCGGGATAGAAGTTAAATAAACTTTGCGAGTTCTTTGTGCTTTAATTGCGACAGCTATGTGGAGGTTTCTTGTGGGAAGTCGTTTTATTTCCTCGAAATAAAGTTGTAGATGTTTCTGTAATATTTTTGTGGACGTTGAAGTGTTGAAGTAATTATTAAAGTAACTGGAATGTTTACTAAGCTCTGGCAAGAATAATTGATGAGATGAAAGTTTGGAGTGTTTCGATGGGGAAAATGGTAATTAGAGATTGCAGAAGCAACGAATGATGATTCATTGAATTTTTATAAACAGTTTTATTAAGTAACAATATAAATAATCGTAGTATAAACCATAGTATTAAAAATAATAGTTATTCTGCCTAAAGATAAGTTACAAGCAGTTTATAGGAGAAAAGAAAATCTCGAACCAAAGGACAAGCATTAACATTCACATTTAGAAAATTGTTCAAATATTGACACTCGCGTTCATAAATCGAATAAACGATATACGGAAAAGACATTATATCAACGGTCAGCCACAAAAACGAGGGAAAAGTGGGATCGATAAGAAACGAAAGTAGAAAAGAAAGAATCAATATAATCAAATGAAACTCTCGCACCGGAAACGTCGAGGCGCCGCTATTAACTCAACTCGATCGATTTGTCGAATTTGTCGGGCGACACGGCACTCACTTCCGTCGTCATTGTTCTTGCTCCAATTCGAAGAAAATTTATCGAACCCCGAGAAGTCAAACCTAAAATTTACCCCTGAAACACTTGAACATTCGGTTCATAGTCTACGAATTAAAGACATGCGTATTTTTAAATTTCTTTTATTTATTTCGAACAAAGTTGCACCATTTAAGAGATACATTATTATTTTTTGTTTAATGTTATAAGACATTATTGATTAGTGATAATATTTTTTACTATCTTGTTACCATTAATATCATTATTTTATTACGGTCATGATTATTTTATCATCACTAGTATTAATATTTTTTTATTGTTATTACTTTATAATTATATTATTATCATTAGCATTAATATCTTATCATTATTATTTTTATTATTTTATTACCATTAGTATGAATATTTTGTTATTAATATTACCATTATTATTATTTTATTATCATTAGCATTAATATCTTGTCATTATTATTTTTATTATTTTATTACCATTAGCATTAATATTTTGTTATTACTATTACTATTATTATCATCATTATTAGTAACGATTTAAAATACCAACATTTGGAAGCCTACTAGCAAAATAGTTACAGTATCGCACAACGAGATTATGACGATACATCTCGTCCATTGTAACGAAAGGGTTAATCTCCAAAGTTTCTTTTAGCACGGTCGAATTTTGTGCTGAAAAATTGTCGCGCGAACCGCGTTCGCACTGGTTTAACGTAAACAAGAACAGGGCTCGGTGGCCGGGTTTTATTTAGCGGCGCGCAGGGAAATGGAAAATGAGCCGGGAAAATTTGAGCGGCGCGCCGACTATTTATTTAACAAGCGGCGTTCCCACGAAATCCATTTGAACGCGGCCCACAGAAACAGAATGGAGTTAGCAGGTGTCGGCCCTGGTATCGTTACGTCGCCGGCCGAACCCTGTCCATTTCCGGTTGGAAGAAGAAAACCGACGCCGCGACCGCCGGTCCTTTTTCATTCGGTTAATTCGTTCGGGGACGAGTAATGAATGCAAGCCGCGTCTGATCGTTGTTTATCGGGCCGCGAATTTTGTTCGTTCGCTGTTTACGGCGGAAAAGGGCCGACAGTGAAATCGGCGATTCTGGGATTTTTGTTTTTTAATTTGTTGAGATTACCGGAATTATGGGAATTATGGGAATGATTTAAATAATTAAAAAATTATTGGAATATTTGGAATAATTTGGGTAATCGGAATAATTAGAGTTATTGGAATTGCTGAAATTATATTATTAGACACATTTTTATATAGTAATTATTGGAATTATAGAAATCATGTTAGCATATTCTTATCCTATAATTATTGAAATTATTGAAATTATTGAAATTATTGAAATTATATTACTATACGCATTTTTATCGTATAATTACTGGAATTATTGAAATTATAGATATCTTTGTTCAAGATGACCTCAGAATCTCTTCTGAAAACAGCAGAAGATCAATGTAATTGTCTTAACTATAATCATCGATGTGGTGTAATTAATTTCATATAATTCTATAATTTAATATCGCTCGTTGGAGCTTATTCTTATTAAAATAATAAGCTTCTCCATCGAGTAGCCGGGAATTATTATGAAATTTTGATTGCGTCGAGGTAACGAGACTCCGAAGACGATAAAGCAAACGATAATTCAATTTAAAGAGAATTTTCCTTCGTTTAGTGGCTGATAAAAGCTTTTAATGGGCCAAAGAAATTTCTGTCCAGCTCTAGTTTCTCTAATTCCGGCCATAAAAATCTATATTAAATATCCGCGGTCTGGTTCGCACGAAATGGCGGAATTCTCGGCTACATTCAACGTTTAAATCACTCCATTCACGGTTGGAATGAAAAATGATATTCTTAGTTTGCCGGTAAGAATGATTTTATAATGGGCACTTGACATTGGAGTTTAACAGTTTCATTCACGGTTTCAATGAAGATTTATATTGTGCAACCTTTAAGAAAATGTACTTTCACAATTGAAATGTATGAAATTAGGTTATGTCGCGCGTAATGGCGGACTTTTAATGTAACAATACATGTCACCTCAGTTATTATTATTATTATTATTGTTGTTGTTATAATACTGCTAATACCTATGCATTTATAACTACTTAATATTTGCGCAAGTGAATAAAATAATTCGAATAAAATTTCCATCTTCTCGACGATATCTTTAACATAACGAAGCTATTAATTTTAGATGTCTATATAAATTATAATCTGCTTTGCATGCTCGGTGATCGACTAGAAAAATGTGACTTTGCTTATAAATTCACGGTGGTAGTTCTAAATTAGCATTTACACTCTTAATTGGGATTTAAGTGGAATAAAAACTTGCGTTCGTATTCTGGCGAACAAAGGGCAAACTTTAAATCAATTATATCACCGAATAAACACAGTAAATAAATATTACGTATACTAACTGATAGAATGACAATCTTAATAAGAAGTAATTAACAAATTTAATTCAATCCAATGATCCTTTAATAAACTTTGAAGAATACAAAGAATTAATCCGTTGCACGTAAACAAACGAATCTTTGAGAAAACAATGCCGACAGTCCAGCTAACAACTAAAAATATCAGTCGACTTGTTAATGAATAATCAGCAGCTGTAACTTGATCGAGCAATTAACTCGCCATTCAGACCGAACCCCTTTCGAGCCGAATCGGACGTTGTTCCGCAAACAAAAACATAATGCCAAACGAATGCAAAACTAACGTACAATCAGCGACGAAAGTATTCGAACAATATGATAAGCAATAAATTATAATTATACAAACTGCACACCGTATATTACTGTTTATTGAAGTGAGTTCAAAATTGATTCCTTTGCACTCGTATGTCATGATGCTTATGTCAATAGAAATTTGTTGTAGTACGTTGGAGATTGTTTGAAAAAGTAGCACACCTGAAAAGATCCTACAGATTCAATCTTCTTAGAATAATAATAAATAAAATAAATATTGAACGCTGAATTCTACCGCTGTAAATTACTGTAATTCATTTCCCTGAAAACAGATACAATCCTACACTCAGCAGCATTGAAAATAAATCGAGTGCAAAGGGTTGGAAATAAGATTTAAATGAATTTCAAATAAAAAATGTAAACAAAAGGATTAAAATAAAGGAATCAAATTTAAAGAAAATGGAGAAAATATAGAAATCATATTTGAAT